CCTGTCATCCTTCTAACCCACAGAACTTAACATTCAAACATGAATGTTTTATTTATTCTTTAAAAAAATGGCAAACCTCAAAGCAGAATCAACTCTACAGTTGTCTGAATAATCCTCTTTCCCCAACCACATACAACTCCAACAAACAGTGAGAATAAAATATATATTACACTATAGATTTTTCTTATGGAAGAATGCTTGATTTCCAAAAACAGAAACTATGTATTTTTTACATATAGGAATGCTCAATGTTTTATTTTGTTTTAACTTTCTACCTTCTCTCAGTTGGGTAGTGATATTGGATTTGGGACCTGCTAATACCATCAGTTAGGAAAGGTTGGGACAAATGATGCAGTACAGACATTCACTTTCCTACAACTCAGTGTGGGATCTTCAGTATAGAACTCTGAAAGGCAGTGCGCTAGCCACTTTTCTGATGCTTGTTTGTTTTTCTGAACCTATCTCTGAAAGCTTGATCATGCGTCCTAGAAAAGAGTTGATATAAAACACGGGTAAAATAATATGCATTCCTGGCATCCACTTCCAATTTCCTGAATCCAAGTCTCTCTGTGTAGTGCTTCCTGGTCTGTATTTATAGCTACTGGCCCTGGAGATTCCAGTGTTCACTCAAGCTGAAGAACCACAGCCCGAGGGTATTCAGTTAGCTGGAGAAATACATTGTGAAAGGTCCCTGGGCAGGAAGCTAAGCAACTGAAGCCAGGCCTATCCTGTACTGGGCATGCATTTTTGGAATTGGTTTGGTCCCTTGGATCAGCAGGGCATGAGCATTTACGATTTTAGGGCACAGGGAAAGATTCACTTGTGACTCACCAAAGCTGCATGGTGTGTTCTTTACACAATAGGAAATCACTTCCTGTTCAGTTGTTAAATAGAATAAATCAAATAAAATGAATGTAATAAGTAGAATAAAGGGCAGCTAAATGAACCTACAAACGAATGAAAATTACCACTCATATAGGTCCTCTATTACCAAGTATTATATTCTGTTATGTTTTTAAATTCAGCTTTGCATTTTAATTTAATGTTATAAAATGGAGTGGAATATTTTAATTTGAAATAGTATAGTCATGAGTTGATCATTTTAATATATCCTTTCTCTCTTTTTTAAAAATTTGAAATGGATTATTTTTATACAATACATTCTGGTTATGGTTGCCCGACTCCCAACTCTTCCCAGATCTTCCCCACCTTCCTATCCACCCAAATCCACATTCTTTCTTGCTCTCTCTCATTAAAAAAAAAGCAACAGGCATCCAAAAGAAAAAATAATGAAATGCAATAAAATTAAAAACAAAACTGAATAGGACAAAACAAACATTCTGTGCTTCTTGTGCTTTTTCTTTTCATTTGTTTTGTCTTTCAGTCCCTTTTTACATGTTACTTTTTTAAAATTTTCAGACAGTCTCATGTAATCAGGTTGGTAGTCAGCTCATTATGTAGCCAAGGATGACCTTGAACTTCTGATCTTCTTACTTCTACCTCCTAAGTGCTGGGATTACAGGCGTGGGTCACCATGGGCAGTTTATGTCATGCTGTGGGTCTAACCTAGGGTCTTGTGTATTAGGCAAGCACTCTAGCACCTGAGACATATTCCTAGACCTATTTTAATATATTCTTGAAGGCTGTTTTTTTTTTAATCAATTCTTTTTTTTTCAGTTTGTTAGCCTTTTACTTTAATCTCTATGACCAAATATTATTAAATGAGAAATCAGTTAATCCAGCCATGAGCCGATATCTCAATATTTGGATATCTCAATTGATTCTGTTTAGATGATGATCTGTTTGGAATCTTTCTCCCTCTTCCTTCACTTTCTTTCCCCTAGTCTCACTTCCTGTTGCATTGTAACTATGTAAAATACATTTTTTTCTATCAAAAATCTTTTTACTATCATAATTCTTTTTATTTTAACATACAGAAGCCTATCTAATGAAACTAAAATGTTTTTTTAAAAAAACCTCATGGCTACAGATCTCTTAAAGCGATAACAACTACCCACTCAGGTAGAGGTTAACTCCAATTATCTCCACCATGCCAGGATGCTCTTCATAAAACAAAGATTGCTCATGTGTTGTAGTTTCATTAGACACAGTTTTCTAACATTAATCCATGAGATAAAGGTATAATATAAGGAATTCTTGGTCATGTTATTTTTTACCACTGTTCCTATTGACTGCTATTCTTTTGTGATCTTTAAATCTGAAATGTAAGAGACAGAAACATTATTGTAAACTGCCTTTCATGTGTGCCATTGTTTTGCCTGGATATGAGTCCGTGTACCATGTGCATGTCTGGTGCCCAAGGAGGCCAGAAGAGAACATTAGATCCCCTGGGACTGGAGTTCTAGAAGGTCATGAGCGTCCATGTAGGTGCTGAGAATTGAACCTTTATCCTCTAGAAGAGCAGCCAGTGCTGGTACCCTTTGAGCTCTCTCTCTCTAGCCCTCTGCAAACTGTTTTTAAAACAATTTGCTGTTAATTATCGTGTATATGTCAGTTTTTTTTTTCCTTTTTGACATGGTCTTACTCTGTAGCCCTGGCTGGCCTGAAACTGAAACTCATGAAGATCTACTTGCTTCTGCCTCCTAAGTGCTGGAATTAAAGGTGTGAGCCACCACATCCAGTCTTAATGATACTCTCTTTTGCCAAACCAATAAATACAAAGCAAACTATAAACATGTGATTGGTTCAAGTAGTTTGGGGGGAAGAAAAGCCCAATATTTCTTCAGGACTTGGGTAAATCTGTATTTATCCTTTAACATTTCAAAGTGTAGGGTTGGCAGTGTGGCTCAATAGAAAAGACTCATGACTAAGAAAGCGAACAGAGAGGTTTTTTGTAAATAGCTTCTGGTATTACTGTTGATATTAGCTTTCCTTCCTTTCTGGAAACCAAAAGATCAAAATAGGCAAATTTAAAATAATCTTAAAGAACTGATTAAGGAAAGAAAAGAAAGTGTTTATTCATCGCATAAACTTTATTGTAAATATGTATGTCCATCAAGAAGATTCATACTTTGTAAAGGTTGAAAAAAAAACCCTCAATTGCAAGAAGAAAAAGTCAAATAGATTTAATTTATAATCGAGGCATCTACCGGTGTGGCTCAGCAGGAAGCATTTGCTTCACAGGAGCAGAGTCCTGGGTTTAATTTCCAGTCCTCCCAAATAGTATTAACAGAACTTCGTAATGCTACATAGTATGCACACACCTAAAATATTTAAAAGAAAAGAGAAGTTTGAAATAAATCAATAACCGAAGTCTCATGTATACAGTGTATAATGATCAAATCTGAGTCAGCAGCACAGTGACTGTGCTCATCCTTTACCATTTTTCTGTGATGAGAACACTCAAAAGCCTTACTGGCCAGTTTGAAATTCCTAGTATTGTAGCTGTAGTCACTCTGCTGTAAAATAGACTGCTCAAATTTATTCCTACTATTTGTAGCTTTGTCTAAAGTCTTCTAGCCTTCCCTGTTGCTTTTTCCAGTCCCTGATAACTACCATTCCACTTCATCTATTTTGAAATCAATGTTTTGGGATCCTACAAACAGTGGATGCAATGCGGCATCTTTCTATCTGTGTCTGGCTTATTCACTTAATGACCTCCTGTTTCATTGGTGTCACTGAAAAAGAGGATTTCATCCTTTTTTTATGGCTGAAGGGTATTACCTCATCTATAGACAGCACATTTTCTTTATACAGTTCTTGGTGAATGAACCCTTAGGTTTTATTCATCTCAGCCAAAATGAAGGACCAAGTGAAGAAGTCTGGGCAGGATCTTGATTGCATTTCTTTTGAATGTAGACCCAGGAGTGAGAGTGTTGAATTACATGTTTACACTTTTAGTTTCTGAGGAATCTCCATTGTCTCCCACAGTGCCTGTACTGACTTATAATAGCGCACTTAAAACAGAAAAAAAAAAAAAAAACCACAAAAAAAAACCACATAAGCTCTTGTTTTACGACAGTGATTCTCAACCTTCCTAATGCTGTGACCCTTTTAATACAGTTCCTTATGTTGTGGTGACTCCCAACCATAAAATTATTTTTGCTGCTGCTTTATAACTTTTAATTTTGTTGCTAGTTCATGACTCTTAATTTTTGATTCTGTTAATTCATAACAGCAATTTTGCTGCTGTTATGAATCGTAATGGAAGTGTCTGTGTTTTTCAATGGTCTTAGGCCACCCCTGTGAAAGGTTCATTGGACCTCCTAACAAGTAGAGACCCACAGGTTGAGAACTGCTACTCTAAGAGCTATGGATCCAGCACAATGGGGACTTTGATGCTATCTTAACATGCTGTAGAGCCTACTACCATGTCTGTAAGTCATTTAGCATGGTTTCATGAGTGTATTTTAAAGTAAGTCAACAGTAAGCCAGCTGAACACACACACACACACACACACACACACACACACACACACACACACACACACAAAGACCATATCTTGCATTAAGAAAGAAAATATTGAAATAGCTCAATTTTGTATTTTTGTAATTGTTATACATTTGGATGTTATTGAAAATCGTTGTGTTTTTACTTTTTGTGATTTGAGGGTAGGTGCTTGAATTTTTGTTTAACTGACAAGTTAACGAGCCACACTCGTCTCCACAAGTGTGTCCAAATGTTATGTGTCAATAAACAAAAAACAATAACTCACATGTGCACATTTGTTCCCAGCCCTGACCTGAAAGGTTAGGTAGGGTCCTTGGCCCTGCCTCCTGCCAAGTGTTCTGCCCAACACTTTGGAATGTGAACTTGCTTGAGCTAGTACCTTCTTAGCATAATTTCACTGGTGGCTTGTCTGTCTAAGGTAGTCGGGGGATATTAAAATAGTCTAACAATAAAATCGCAATCAGTCAACCATACAGCCACCTTCCAAGGGGGAGGAGAACAGCTCCCTCTCCTAAGGGCCTGAGAAAGATCAGTTTACAGGCTCCAGCCCTGCTGGGGATCCTTCCTCCGTCCTCCATCTTGGCACAGCCACAGGCCTCTGTGACCATACGTTCCCAATAGCTCACAGCCAGGGCTCCATCTCCCATGCACCATAATGTGCTCAGTTCTTCCCCTGCCCTGGCTTCTGATTGGGAGCCTGGCAGCTGGATAGTGACCTCCAGGACCCTCGCTCGATTACAGCCTGTTTGTACAAGTCTTTCTGCCGTTTAAGGTGCCTGCAAGAGGGGTGTGAGGAACAGTAAGAGACTGGGCACTCTTGGCCCCAGGGACCGGCATCAGAGGCCGATAGCATCAGAAGCCAATAGCATTCCAGCTGGGCTGGCATCTGCCCATGTGTCTCTTCGCGGGTTGCTTGCTGCCATGAGGGATCTTCTTCAGTATGTTGCCTGTTTCTTGGCCCTTTTCTCCACCGGGTTTTTGATTGTGGCTACCTGGACAGACTGTTGGATGGTGAATGCTGATGACTCTCTAGAGGTAAGAAGCCAGTAACCTCGGTTTTGATCTAAAATTCCTGTCAGCCTTGCTGCCAAACCCAAACCAGTGTGTTTCGTAGGATTAATGTGAGCAAAGATAGCCAGCAAGGGTAAACTGATCCTTAATGAATCTTAACATTGTGAGCTTATTTAAACCCTAACACTAAGTGGTTATGCCATAAGTACTGTTGTCCCATTTCACAGATGAGGTAATTAAATAATCCATCTATTTTTTCTAAGGGCAATTTTCACAAGTATAATTATATCATGTCTGCCACAGGATCCTCCACCCCTCCCTTTTTTATATACCAAGCCGAGCACTGTCCCAGCTTTTTTTTCTAAGATAAATGTGCCAACCTTGATAGCAGATTTCCGACTCCTGTGAGAGACATTCCAAAGCTAATTATCTGAAGTGTTGAGCAAGTGAACTCTGTGCAAGACTTTCTGAAAGAGAGAAAGCAATCCCAGCTCTTTGGGAAAGGAGCTCAAGGTGTCTAAACCCACTAAGTTGATGCAGCGCAGGGACAAGTTACTTGAAGCAGGAGGAAACTTGGGGAAAAGTCTTCCCGGTGCCTCTCAGCGTTCAGGAACAGCTGTGGACTTAAGAACTCCACTCTTAATCATGGTTACATTGCAGCTGCTACCGCTTAGGGTGAGATAACTGGGTGAACTTACCCTTGGGAATTTGATTTTTTTTTTTCTCACTGAAAAAAAATTGTAAAGAGTAAGGTTCAGAAGTTTTTACTGTGGTATAGTAAGTAGAGATATGAGCAAGGCAGAGCTGAACAAAATTCAGATCTTCAAAATTTTTCCTTGGTAGGACTGAGAAAAATGCAGGTCAGACAAATACTATGGAGTGAGGAACTCAGAAGAGGGAGAGGTTAATCCATCTTTTCTTTTCTGTGTATCCTGGGGGAATGGTCTAAACTCCCCAATGCTCTGGTGTCACATCTATGAAGGCTTAAGGAAGATCTGGGGGGAGCTGACATGTTTTTATTTGAATTCTGTTTATTAGACTCTTAAGCTGGAGTTAGAAGTGAAACTCACATTTTTTTCCTGTTTCATCGTGGAATCTTTGCCATTCTGTGTGTGTGTGTGTGTGTGTGTGTGTGTGTGTGTGTGTGTGTGTGTAAATTTCTTCCAATTTCTACATGACATTTCAAAACCAATGAAGTTATAAATGCCTCTTTACTGCTGAGAGTTGATGTTTCCAAAAAACTGTTATAAAATTGAAGTCCTCTGGGTTGTCTGCTTTGCAGTGAGTCCGGGGATGCAGTAATGAAGGGGGGAAAATGCCCTTTGGACAGTGCTCAGGCCAAAGTGTAGATCTAACACTCTGCTACTGTTAGTTTGTCATTATTCAGGCTGCCAGTCATTGGCGATCAATAGAAAAATACGTTGCACTTGAGTATACTTTAAATTGAGTTTTAAAAAATGTTTTTAAAATATGTAAAATCCCATCCAAAGCCACTGATTAAATATTTTCTGAAGCAGTTTGAAAGTCTTGTTGCTCTGAGTGAGGAAGTTGTTAACCTTCTCCATTGAGAAATAGAGTCTGAAGAAGAGCCAGGCTTGCTGAGAGGGAGGCAGGAACACTGGCGTGGAAACAGCATCTCCCTTTCACTATAGCTTGTCAATCAATTTGCCCTCCACATTGCACAAGAACATCCACCAGTTCAAAGGAATGAGATGAACAGCCCAGATTATTCACTTTAAGTAAATCCTAACCTTGGAAAAGCTGATATTTCTTAACGTCTTTTCCATTTCCTCTCAGTGAAATGTGTTGTCCATAGAGGCTACACATGGAAACTACCCTGTCTGTACTAGCCTCTGCTCTTCTTTCACGATCCCCATCTATCAATATTTTTAAAGAGACATCAATCTCTTTCAATAATTTCTTTAATTGGTCAGGACAAAATTCGATATTTTCTGCAAAAGTTAGAAGGTCTTGATCATCATTGGCCCATTTAGGCTGTTCTCTGTCTTTTTCTTAACCACCACTAGTCCACACTAACATTTTACCTTCTTTAAACAATTGTTGGGGGGGAAGAAAGTAAGTGCAATAAAAATATGTAGATAAAACCATTTGAAGAAGCAGAGGAAGTATTCTGGCTCATGGCCTTGTTAGTATAAACATGTGGGTTGGAAAATTGGTTCTATGGTTCAGTTCAACTCGGCAAATACATAAATTGTATGTCAGGAAGAAGCACGGTGCCCATGATACTGAAAGAGGCAACGATAAGGCCGGAATGCATCTTGCCTTTCAGGAAGGGACGCTGAGTGCAGGTGGAAAAAAAAGATAAGCATGAACTATAACAAATGACACAGATCAGTTCATATTTGAGGAGTAAATGAGCAGAATACCATCGGAGCAGAGATGAGCAAGCTGTCCCTCCCCATTAGGCGTATTTAAATGGGTCTTGCGGAAGAACAGGCTCTCAACATAAGCCTCCAAAGGATGCGATTTCAAAGCGTAGGAATGGCAGCAGGGGCTGCCATTTGGGTGACTTTGGATGACAGGCCAGTGTGGTAAAAACATAGAATGAGGGAAAGCTCTGGCCTTGTAAAAGAATATAACTCAAAGCAAGAGGCAGAAAGAAAGGCACAAGGAAAGATATTCTTTGGTTTTACTATAATGCACCTGCCTTGAAGGGTGAAATTCTTTGTATTCAATAAAAACATTAGGACAAAAGAAAGCACCCAGGAAGAACAGTGGGCAGGACCCTAAACAATGGGCTGAGATGCTCTCCTGCCCTCACTATAACCTTAAGTCTATTGTTCCTGGGAAGAGATGGGTACTGAAGAGAAGGGGCCGAGGTTTTTCAAGCCTGCAGTCACTCAGCTCTTAGCTCCTATTAACTGCCTTCTCTCAGGCAAAGCACACACTTTGTCTTCAGTTTTCTTTCCTCCAATGTAAGATGGAGTTAAATTCAGTGGTCCCTTTTGTCACCGTTCTCTTTAGCATCTGGATGCCCTGACTGTCTGCAACCCCTGAGCAATGGTTAGTTATTAAGGGACCAAAGATACGAAGAGCTTCCTTAGGAAAAACAGCAATAACATCAACAACAGAACCTCCATTAGAAATTTAGTGTGAATATTCTCTCGCTTCACTCTATTCCATATACTTATTTCTCATCCCTACCTTACCACACCCTGGTCTTCAACATCTCACCCACATCCTGTGACTTCTTTCTCCCTCCTTCCTCTTTTCCTCATCTCCTTTCCTTTGTTTTTTATCCTTCTCATTTCCTTCTCTTCTTTCCTCTTTATGTTCATTCTATCTCCTCTTGCCCCACAAACATTCCTGAGCATCTACGGTAGGGCTGTCACTGGAGTGGCTCCCTGGTTATTCGGGTTGTGCACTCTGAAGCATCTGAGGGTGATTCTCAGTGTAGTGGGGGACATGAATTGGTGAACACACAGTTCCAGTTCGGTGTGTCAAGTGCTATGCTTGAGGATGAGCAACCGTGAGTGAACATTATGCTCTGCTTTGGATGCTCAGAGGAGTCTTCTGAGAAGTTTCCTCTAAAGTAGGGCTGCAAAAGCAAGTGAATGAACCAGAGGAGAGAGTGTTTGAACTAAACATCGGGAATGCACAGAGCTATAGGCGAGGTAGTGTTTGTGGTATTGTCCATATTTTCTGATGTAGACAGGAAATTATGGGGTTAGGTAATCAAAGGTTTAAAGTCTTATGCAAAATATAGGTCTGATCCCCATAGGCAAGAGTGCCTCACTGTAGGCAAATACATACATGTCTTTTAAAAATATCAGCCTTTCTGGCTGCTCCTGGTGGATGTTTCAAGGGGGCAAAACAAGCTATAAAGAGACCATTTAGAGAATGTTTGCATAATTAAGGAGGAAAACAGAAGTTGTCTGAACAATAATGGTAGTAAGTGTAGAAAGATGTGGAAAGGTGTGGGAAACTGTGTTTCAGATGGGTAGGGTTGGTGATTGACTGCCTGTGCTAAAGAAGGTAATGGGGAGAAAGAAGCCTAGGTTGAAATCCACCTTACCAACTTGGGGTGGCTGGCAGGATTATGGGATCACTTACCCAGTGGTCAAATGGAAATATGAATTTCTATACTGAAGTTATGGAGCATGCTCTCCGCAACACCATAATTTTTTCCCCTGGCTTAGCTTAGCATGGCGGCAGAAACAGTTTGTCAGTGGGGAAGTATATAGACTAGACCCAATGTCAGAGGTGCCCGGGTTAAATTTCATTCATCTCCCCTATAAGGAGAAAGGTAACTCCTCTGACATAGCTTCTTGTGAGGGTTAAATGAGCCTGTGCATTACAAAGTATTTACCACAGCACCAGGTAAACACAGATCAGCCAATAAGTGTCAGATATATTATGATTAATTTATAGTTCATTGTTTTGTTTTGTTCTGGGGGAGGAGATGACATTTTGTGCAATGCTCTCTGAACTGAGAGATTGAAGAATGAAGTTCTGGCCTCATTTCTGCTATCGATCCTCTCAAAGGAATGTTGTTTGTTTCTCTGGGCAGTGATTTGCCCAGCTTTATACTTATGACTGATTATTGCTTAACTTGAGGAGCAAGGCAGACAATGGGGTCCCATAGCAGAAGCTATCTGTCTACCAGTGAATGCTTACAATAAACAAGGGTTAGGAGGATTAATCACATTATTATGATGCTAACTCTCTTGCAGGATGTGTAGTTATTTATTATCTTGCAGGAGTAGAAACAATACTTTCTTAAGAAAGTTGCTGGTCTCTCCATTACCAGAAGGAGGAAAAAAAATGTTTGCGTAGGATGATTCAATTTCCAGTTAATTTTTTGTTAATTATTTCCTGGGAATTGCTATACTCTGAGCACTGTTATGATTAAATTTTTATTACTTCAAAAGAAGGTTGTTCACATTAGAATTTATTTCAACCTCATAATCAGGTTTTCTCCTGAGATTTCTATTTGCCTTACTGATGTTATAATTCTTCTAGACATAAAGTATGTATTAAAATTATTATATATAATATGTGCA